CCGTCCCTCAGGGCCGGGGGAGCTTCTCGGGGTCCCCGCGGGTCCCGGACCCCCAGGGCCGCTCAGCCCCGCGCTCACGGACCTTCCCCCACCAATTAAAACTTTGGTATCACTTGGGTGGGGTCTGATGACGTTTGACAGACAAATCTAAAGGAACAAATTAAACAATTTCGTTGGAATAAAAGATACGGGACTCTTACCTCTGAAAGAGAACTGAAGAGAACACGCTCAACTGTTTTCTGCTTTCAAAGACAATTCTGTTTAATTTGTCGAAATTGAAAATACCGAGTTGAAGGCATTAATTTAATTCAAAATTTGGAGGTATTGGCTTTTTGAACAAATACAGGACCTTTACATCCTGCCGTAGAGCTCGTCCCAGGGCAGCGCTCTCGGCGCACACACGGACCCGCTGGGCTCCACCACCCACGACAGAAATTCCAGCGGTGAGGAACCAAGGAACCCTTGGGCCGTGGGACAGGTGTGGGCTCCGATGCTTTCCCCCACGAGAGGGCAGAGTATGGACAGGCATCCACAGGGTGAGGGTGACTGTCTTGGACAGAGGGAACCGCCCTTCAGAAATACTTCCTAATATCAAACATTAGCAAATGCTTTCCAAAAGTCAGCCAAAAAAAAAATTAGGAATGCCAAATTTATTGCTAATCTGCCCCTGTAAAATCAACAGGCGTTTGATATGATCTTTGCTAATGAGAACTATCACACGGGGCAGCCAAGGGTTCCCCTGTGCACAAGCTCCTCGCAGGAGGAGCTGCCGCAGCCCCGGGCTGGAGAAGGAGGTGTCACCTCTCCTGTCACCTCTCCTGACACTGCCTGGAGCTGCCTCGGGGCTACTCACTCAGCTCTGAGGGTGACGAAGGAGGGGCTCCCACCTGCTCTGTCTCTGTGAGCACCACCAGGCACAAGCAGCCCTGAAATAAACACTCTGTGCCCAGAGGAGGAGGAGGAGGAGGAGGCAGCGGCTGCTTCCCTGCCTGGCCTGCGAGCACCAACCCCCAGCAGTGTCTGCAGTGGCGTGGGGCTCTTCCCTCACGGGGCTCTTCCCTCACGGGGCTCTTCCCTCACACGCCCTGGCTGTTGCCACCTTCCCCTCAGGACACCACCTTCTTTCCCATTCAGTGCACAAACAGGTGGATCTACAGTTCCCAAACTCCCCTTGAGTTTTGAATCATCTGACCTCCCTGTGCTTCACTGGATGCCCTCCCCTACACCTTTTCCCCAAGACAAGGTTTCCTGCCTCATTGCCTGCACAAGTCCCTCATAGAAAATCCATATTTTCAGTTTCCAGAAGCTTTTGCCCCATTCCAACACGGGTACAATGCCTTCTCCCACATTCTCAGCATTTGCAAATGGTTTGCATCTCTGCTGAATTTCCCTCTTTCTTTGAATTCTGCATCAAATCCCCTCACTCTTTGGCTTATTACTTTCTCAGAGCCATTATAAGCAAAGACCCTACCAGGTGAGCCTGGTGGCAGGGGACAGTAAAAAGGGAGATAAGGTAGAGGAAACCACAGGATTGGGGCTGAATCTGAAGTCCTGGGCTGGGACAGACTGGCTCTGCTGGGATGGACACGGGGGCCCAGTGGGCAATAAACAGGCTGAACATCTGCAGCGTGTCCTGGGCTGCATGGACAGACATGCACCTGGCAGGGTCCAGGAAGGGATCTCTCCCTTCACCTGGCACTCGTTAGGTCATTCTGTGTTCAGGCCTTGCAGTGCAAGAAAAACATCAATAAACTGGATCAAATTCATAGGAGAGCCATGAAGATGTCAGAGAATTTTCAGTGGAGAAGAACAAGTACAAGAGCGACCCATCCCAACATCAAGCGAGTACAGCAGGAGGCCAGACTGGCTGAGTGGAGAATTCTGCATCACTTTTAAATACAAAAATGAAGAAGATGGAGGGTGGAAGCAGCACTGAAGCTGCCAAGAGACATACACAGGCATTGCATGGACATGCAGGGACAGAACTGGAAAAGCCAGAGTTCAGCTTGACCTGGCTGAAGATCAAGGAAAGAAGGAAAAGTGCAGCATGTGAACACCTTGCCCTTCCCCAGCTGCTCCAGGTTTATAAAGAGAAAGCTGTTCTCTGCCACAAGACAGGTAAGGTTTATTTTAGTGTCTCTCCTCTTTTCCAAGTACAGGATAAGCACAACCTATGCACTGCCTGACAGAGGCCCAGGATGCACAGCTGAATGGTGGTGCCTGGAACCCCATTGTCTGCTGAACCTGAAGCTCTTCTGGCTCACTGCAGAGCTGTGGGCCTCAAGGCAGGCAGATGTACCAGGTACAAACTGATTTCCACCTGTCCATTTGACCCCACTCCTCTTTCAGCAAGGCCCCTGCCTGCTGTCATGGCCAAAAAGCCACACCCCCCTTCTGAGATCCACCACCTGCAAACCATGGAAAGGCAGAGCTCCTTTCCCTCCTGCCATGGGAGCCAGAATTCCCAGAGGGTCACTGTCAAGCTGCTGTGTAACATCAGATGAAAGATGCTCTTGGGATACGCTCCCATGGCTGGCACAGCAGTGAGGGCCCTTTATCCAGTGATTCCAAGTATGAACTGAATCATCTCCCCAGAAGGCAGGACAGTAGCCTGCTGCTGTCCAGCAGTGCTCCACCTTCCTGTCTTATCCCTCCCTGGCCAAGGCCTTGTAAGATGCAGGTGTTTGCATTTGCCAAAATCCAGATGTGTTTTTCTGCCAGATGTTTTCCAGCAAGCAGCACAGGTCACCCTGTGAGCCAGAAGCCCCAAGTAGGCTGGGCATCGAGAAAGCAAGCAGGAGACAGGCTCAGCCTCACACCTAAATCCAGGCTGCTTTAAATTCAGAGACAACTGTCTTATGTTAATTAACAAAAATATGCATAACAACCAGTGTGAAAGAACTCAGCACCATTCCCAGAGGTAGCCAGAGGCCTCCCCTTTGAGCTGAGACTTTGTTGCTCTCCATGTCTGGTTTCTTCTGGAAGTGCCCCTTCCCCAGTGTATCCTGCCTGTCCTGCTGGAGGGCTTCTGGTCCTCAAACACCTGAAAGCTCCACTCACTTCTAAAAGGCTCAGGGCTGTGTGGTTCTGCACTGAGGTCTGCCCTGTGCTTCACTGTCCATGCAGGGTGTTCCCCCAAGTGATGGAGCTTTGCTGTCTTCCAGGAAATAGTTACTCACAGCAGGGGATGGAAATACCCCCGTGCACCACGACAGAACAGAGCTCTGAAAAGAGGATGTGGGGACAATGGCAGTGATAACATCTCTCTGCCAGCTAAGAAGTGGCTGTGGCTCTGTCATACAGAAAACATGTGATGATGAGCAAGGCCCCTCTTACACACAGGCTGTGCTGTCTTGGCCCTGCTTGGGCACTTGATGGGAGTTGCCACCAATGCTCCACTGTGCTCTTCTGAGGGGATGGGACAGAGCTGGAGAAGGGTCTGTCAGCCTCTGTTGGTGACATGCCAGAGGAGTCCCTGGTGTGTAATGGAACCATGCAAGGAGCAATCAGAGCCAAACTGAGGCTTCCTTGCTTAAGCTCCTTGAAAGGGAACTGAAGGTCACTGCGGAGTCCTCACTGCTGGAATGATCCTGCTGCCTTTGGGCACTTTGTCCCTCTCCCACACAGTGTTTGCCTCAGCACAGGGAACATGCTCAGCCCAGCCAGGCCAACCTCTGGCTGCCTTCTGCCACACAGCTACCCTGCTCCTCACTGACTCTCTTACACAGTTTTTAAGCCCTGCTTTAAGACAATCAGAGATTCTAACCAGTGTCTTTGGTGGTGGTTTATTAGTTAGGTTCAAGCACATTTTTAAACAAAACACTGCTCTGCACATCACAGGACAGTTTTCACTCTGGCCCCTGGGTCTTCCAGGTGAAGTAGTTTGAACCCGACTTT